CCTCAGGCCAGGAACAGCTAAAATGTTTAAATCCTGAGGACAGATTGGCTTTTTCCTGGCTCTCTCAGATGCCCAGGGATAGACTTTCGAGCGGTGATTCTGAAACTTGAGCATGTATTGGAGTCACCTGTAGGACCTGCTAAACACAGATTGCTGGGTCCACCCACTGAGTTGCAGTGGGCAGTGATCAGCTCTCCTAACAAGTTCCCAGGTGATGCTGCTGGCAGTTTGGAGATCATACGTTGAGTACCACTAATTCAGAGCAAGAGGTGTCAGGAAGAGCTTCAGAAACACCCATGAGAGGAGGTTCAGAGAGACAAGGGCCTCTCAGGTGCCCTCTCTGTGGACCACAAGTGGCTTGACAGGAAAAGTAGAGACTGTTTTGTTTCATCACTTGGTTTCTGTCTCTGCCTGTATTTGCGATCATTTGGTAGCATTATTATCCTTCTGCTAATCCCTTCTACAGGTTATTGGTATAGCTAAGGGTTACATGAAATACACACTAAAAAGATGGGGAGGAGGCTCTGCAGAAAAAAAGGGAGAAACAGCAATTCAACTTCCACAGTGGAGAAGAGAGGTGACTTTGGTTTTTCTCTGTTATTTTTCAAATACATGTCAAAGAAAGTGAGAGGAATGGTGTATTTAATAAAGTTAATGGCAGACGATCAAATATATTTCTGAACTCACAGGATGACTGGTATCAGAGCAAGAGGTCACTGGTATGTGTGCACAGATAAACCACTTATTAGCAAAAAGGAGCTTCAGAAAGGATCCGGCCACTAGTGAAATCCATAAACATAAAAAGAAATGAATAGTTCTCTGCATTCCCTTGGCTTGGAGTCAGTTCCATAATATTTCATTACTTTACCACCAGCAAAGGGAAGAAACCTGGAGAGAATATGTCACAGATGTGGAACGGATTTTGAATTTAGAAACGTCAAGTCCCGTTTAATACCTAACTCCTGTCCTTAGGAACGTTCAGACTTGTCAAAGCCACCCGCGTTTGAACTAATAGAGACAGCTTTAACTCTAATAGGGGGTAACTGGAAAACTAAAAAGGAGTGAAAGTGAACGAAAACCATCCTGGCTGGACTTCACTGGCTTCATTGAGGCACAATTCATGGAATGGCGTTCAGTCCTGTCCTACAGAACAAATTAATGAACACATTCTACCCTTTCCTAGGAAGATTCACAAGCCTGAGAAGATGACACTCTATTCCCAGGAGTCTGTGGACTCATTTTGAAAAAGTCAGTGAGGGCTGGGCGCAGTGGCTCATGCCTGTAGTCCCAGCACTTTGGGAGGCTGAGGCAGGCGGATCACAAGGTCAAGAGATGGAGACCATCCTGGCCAACATGGTGAAACCCCGTCTCTACTAAAAATACAAAAATTAGCTAGGCGTGGTGGTGCGCGCCTGTAGTCCCAGCTATTCGGGAGGCTGAGGCAGGAGAATTTCCTGAACCCAGGAGGTGGAGGTTGCGGTGAGCTGAGATCGTGCCACTGCACTCCAGCCTGGCGCCTGGCAATGGAGCGAGACTCTGTCTCAAAAAAAAAAAAAAAAAAAGAAAAAATAAAAGAAAAAGTCAGTGAGACACTTGCTTCCAAAGAAGTTATAAACACAACAAAATGGAAGTCTGATTTTGTGGCAGCAATCATCTATGGGATCAGAAAATGCTTACATTCTTTTCAATAGATTATGATCAAAATGAAAACACAACCTTTATTTTAATTTTCATTTTGTGAGACAGCCTCTCACTCTGTCACCCAGGCTGGAGTGCAGTGGCGTGATCATGGCTCACTGTGGCCTTGACATCCCTGGGCTCAGGTGTTCTGCCTGCCTCAGCCTCCCAAGTAGCTGGGATTACAGGTGTGAGTCACCACACCCAGCTAATTTATATATATGTATTTTTGTAGAGGTGGAGGTTTGCCATGTTGCCCAGGCTGTTCTGCAACTCCTAGGCTCAAGTAATACTCCTACCTTGGCCTCTCAAAAGTGCTAGGACTGCAGGCATGAGCCACTGCACACAGCCGAAAACATTTAAAATAGTCTCAGAACTTTGGGACCCTTGGAAGGAGATGGCAGCTCTTATGTTGAGAAAAATCTTTTTCTATATTATAAATGAGTGAACTGGTCCACCCATAGCTTATCTTGTTGATAACTGCAGTGCATTTAAAACAGCCTCTAAGGCAGCCTGCCACTCACTCCGTAATCCATTTTAGGTAAAAACTAAGATGGCATTGATTATAAGGTGTGCCACTATTTCGCATAAAAACACTAAGAAAAATGTTAATTAGAACTTACTGATTTAGAGATGCTAAAATGAGAAAAACGAAGCCTCTGTGAGTCTCAGCACGGATGGGAAATTCCAAGGTACGGCGCAGAGACTGTGGAAAAAATTGAACTCCCAGTCTTGGGCAGATGGTGGGAAATCACTTCCCCTCACTGTGCTTCAGTTTACTTACAGGTACACTGTGTTTAACTGGTATTAACAATGCCTACTTCCCACTCCATTACTGAGAGAATTAAATGTGGTCCTCTGTTACAGTAGTTAATACGTGCCTTGCACTTATTAGCTGTTTTAATGACACTGTTACTGTAAGTCTGGCAAGATTGGAATTAAGAATTTAATAAATCTTAAATGGTTTTTAAAACTCTGAATGACTTCACCCAGTCTCAATTGCCAAACCTTTAGACATTGTTTAAAATACATGGTAATGGCTTTGCTTCCTCTGTGCTCTTAGCTCTCTGGAGATGAAATGAAATTATCTCTAAAATGGAGTCAAAGCACCTTCCTAGGCTGAAGAATCAGTCAGAGCCCTTAGGAGCTGATGACTCAAACACAATGGGTGATAGTTTGCATATTGCTTTGCATGACATTTGCATGCTACCGGTTCATTTTTGCTTGAAGTGAAAATCTGCCCACCATCTGCTTCTTTCCGGTCCCTTATGGTCCCCTAGGTGTTGAGTTGGCTGCCTCTGCCTGGGAAGAATAAAGCAACTGGCATGCATCAAGCAGTTACTGCATGTGCCTCTGTGGCTGGTTAGCTCAGCCGAGTGGAAGGGCAAGTTCTATGAGGGCATGGACCACAGCACACGGATCAGGTACCTGTGTCACTGAGGAGTATCCCACATGGATGGTCCTACATCCTCTCTGTGGGATGGTCATTGACTCAAAAGCTCATAAAGCCACAAACAGCAGCAGCCAACTTTTCCTGAATACAGCCCCTAAGTGTGCCTATGTCTGATGGTGAACCAGATGATACGCAGCTAAGTGGCTTAGAGATTAGCTCCTGACCATCAGCAGCTTCCAAATCAAACCAGGGCGGAGCTTCTCTTTTCCCAACTGTGAATAGTTATGGGGGCAGTGAACCTCTAACAAAGATTTTTTACTCTCGAAACTGTCGAGATGTAAAGAAAGCACATGACAGCTAATATCTGCTGCCAGAACCTTCTGTAGCTCTAAGCATTTGTTTTAAACTGAGCCCTGGGATTCCTGACTGCTTGTCTATCAGTGACAATGGACCTACATTTCCACAGATATGATCGAAGCTCACTTAGCTGTTGTTTAGTGGGAATAACGGAATATTTTTATAAGCTCAAATACCTGTATTGTTAATATGGCAAACTAGACAATGATCCTTTAAGATGATATCAGTATCTATTGCTTGGGAAAGAGCTACAAACACCACTGTAGTAAGTGTCCTATAAACGATGCTTTGGATAGCTCATAGAAATACCAATGCACATTGTTCCCAGGTTTCCTGAATTATGACTTATATGTGAAAAGCAAACCCAAATAATCAACTACGAAACCCCAAATTCATATCTGGATACTCAGGCTAGAATACCATAAGCATTATTAAGCTTATTAGGTTTTAGAGATATTGTTTTATCATTAAGCTTATTATGTTTTAGAGATTTTTGATTCTTTTAAATGTTTTACAGCTTTATTAAGAATAAAAGTACCTGTGTTCCTTTTCAAATGAATGGATATCACATGTAAAACATCATACTTTTACGGACACTTAGAAACATAAGAACTTCAGTTATATTAAAATTTCCAAACCGAATTCTAAGAAACACAAAATAGCCAAAAGACGAACCTTTAAAGCACAACTTTACTTCCTAAAAGTGTCACTCCCCATGGGATAATTTTTAGAGATTATCTAGTTCAATATCACTGCCTTTACGAATGAATCGAAGTCTGGTTTGGAAATTGGCACCTAAGTACAACAGAAGGCAAGAGCTCAGAAGATGAACACTTGGGATTGGCAGGTCCCTGGACAGAGGACTGGAGCTTCCTGGGATGCAGGATTAGAAGCCCTCGCTAGGTAGGTGGTTCTGTTAAGGACCCTAATGCTTTGAAGGAAACTACGTTTAAAAATGAGAAAAAGGCATTGGGGAGGATTGGGTCTTGAAGAATAGTCAAACATAAAGGTATTCCAGCCGGGAAGTTGAGCTAACTTCTGACTCAGGTCATCTGGTGGAAGGTGCTTCCCTGAGAGGTAGGAGTGGGCCTGTGGCCAGGAGCAAGGCACTCAGTCACTTCCTCAGTCCCTGAGTGGGCCAGGAAGCAAACTCATGTTAAAGGACAGGAAACCAGACATAATGGCAAAAGGCGAACTGAGTGCAACGGCTGAATTGTCCACTTGGTCTTATTCAGTTGGAGCAGACAGAGAGCAACTGCCTCCTTTGCTGCTCCTCCGTCTCCCAAACACCTCAAGATCAGGAACTGAGCAAGAGGCCAGGGTCTGGCCCCTCAGTGTGTTTTTAAAGCCCCTGAAGACTGAAGATTCCTGTCTTGAAGCTGCTCAAACCCCGAGGCAGGAGAGACAAGGATGGGCAGCAGATGAGCTGGCTCTTTTCCCTCTGTCCCCATCCTGGAGGTACCGTCCTGGCTTGCATGTGTGTCCTGGCAGGCTAACCTCCCTGGGCCACTCGTCAGCTGGCTTCCTGCTGGGGTCAGCCAATGGGAAGGTCAGGCAAGAGATGGGAGGGTGGGCAGAGATGGGAGGAGGGTGGGCAGAGAAAAGTCAGCATCTCTCTTCCCATTCCTTCCGATAGCTCCTGCCCAGTGGCCCCCACTCTCCTTGGCTCTGCTACAGCATTTCCTTCCCTGGTTCCTCAGGGTGGTCAATTCCTTCCTGGCGACCTCTACACTCCTGGCTGGTTCTCTCTACCTCCTTTATTCACAGTTGAACCATCTGAGTTGGAGTCTGTCTCCTGCCAGAACCCTGACCTGACACAGGGGAACAGCGGCCTTGGGGTAAGTGTAGCATATCTTAGCATACTTCCATATACTGGGCAGACTTTTACAAGCAAACGCCACATATATACTTTTGAAATTGACAGACCTTCAACAAACGCCAATCTTTAAGCCCCCAAAACAGCTGCTCGGTCAGTTTGCTCCTTGTTCTGTGGGATCTTCCCTGGGAAAGGCTGAGAAGGATGCTTTACTAGGAGGAATGGAGGCTGCCTCAGGCTAAGTCTCCTATTTTGTAAATGGAAGTACAATTAAGGTAAATTTCTTGATTGCCTCAAGGGAATTGGTCTTCTGGGCTGCAGAGGCAGCAGCAATAGCAAATTAAGCTGGAGACAGGGAAGGGGAAGGGGTGGGATCAGACCTCATGAAGGGCAGAGCAAGCAGGAGAGCCCACGAGAGCCATGGGACCTAGAGAGGAAGGGGAGAGGAGGGGACAGAGGAATGAGAGAGTCCTCACAGCCCTTCTGGGGAAATTGCTCATAAGTCCTGTATTTTTACTAATTTCAGAATAAAGAGTCAGTTCCTTGGAAAACGTCCCACTCTCAGGCCAGCATATTTTGTTATGATAGATGGAGAAGTGTGTGATACATAGAATATCTTTTGTAAAATCTGTAATTTAAAAATTCCCCACACCAAAAATGAAGGTTCATCAGTTATTTAAAAGACAATCACAACTGCCAGGTGTGGTGGTACAGCCTGTAATCCAGGTGGTACAGCCAGCTACTGAGTAGCTGCTGAGGTGGGAGGGCGGTTTGAGCCCAGGAATTTGAGTCTAGCCTGGGCAACATAGCGAGACCCTGTCTCTAATTTTTAAAAAATCAATGAAATAAAAACATCTTATTCCCTGGAAATACTAAATAAAGGAAGAGTTAACAGTGATCTCTTGACCAAAATTTCCTTTAGCTGAACCCAGACAAGAGGCAACCACAGCTTCTAAGGACACAGAAGAAGCTTCTGGGAGAGAACAGTGCGAAGTCACTGAGTAAAAGTGGAGTCCACTGGGGGAGTCCTCCCGGGAACCCTCTAGACACCCAAGGCACTCGAATCCCTTTCCTTCCTCCTCAGCACTCTCAACTATTATGCTCCTGCTAAGTTTTCATTGAGAAACAGTTTCTGAAGTAAAAAAAAATGTTTGAATACTACTGGTTTAGATTTATCACAGACATGAACATGAACTGCTATATACATAAACAAGAGACTGCCTTTACCTTGTAATACCAACCTGTTTTTAAATGAATTTTCATTCTGATGTAGAAGGCCTGTCTTTAATGTTTTGTAATCATTTAATTTTTTGAGACAAAATAAAAATCATCAGAAGGCATGAGAAACTGGCAAGAATCAGACAGCTCATTTGCTTACCTGCTATCCCCAGCATTTGCAACATACAGCTTCCCCAGAAGGCAAATCACAATGAGGGCCGTGCAGCCGCCAGATATATTATATGAACTCCTCTCTCGTTCTATCTGCAGATCCTGGAGACGAAAACAAGGTTAGTGTTGGATCATGCAGGGACGTGTATCAAAGGCTTTCTCACCTTCACTCTCCTGACACAGTCCACAGAGTCTGAATGTGCTTCAAGAAGGGACTAGAAAAATCTTTAGTGCTTGCTTTCCTACCACCTAATGAGCATTTTGGAGAGGACACTGGCATAAAACTGCCACATATCAGACCATCTGTGAACCAGAGAGAGGAAACAATAGATAGCAAACAGAAACAATCAGACAAAACACAAATAAAGGCCGGGCGCAGTGGCTCACGCATGTAATCCCAGCACTTTGGGAGGCCAAGGTGGGCGGATCACCTGAGGTCAGGAGTTCGAGACCAGCCTGGCCAAAATGGTGAAACCCCATCTCTACTAAAAATAAAAAATTAGCTGAGTGTGGTGGCATGTGCCTTTAGTCCTAGCTACTGGGAAGGCTGAGGCAGGAGAATCACCTGAACCCTGGAGGTAGAGGTTGCAGTGAGCGGAGATCACATCACTGCACTCCAGCCTGAGCGACAGAGTGAGACTCTGTCTACAAAAAAAAATGCAAATAAAATGTAAGTTGTATTCAGCAAATATTACAGCTTACAGAAAATTTAGTCTTTGTGAATAACATGAGCTGCCATGTGAAACATGCACTAGAGAAGCTGAGAATGCCAAGGACTTGGACCTGATCAATGTTTTGTTTTGTTTGCTTCTTTTTTGAAGACAGGGTCTGGCTCTTGTCACCCAGGCTGGAGTTCAGTGGCCCAATCTCAGCTCACTACAACCTGTTTCCCATCTCAAGCAATCCTCCCACCTTAGCCTTCTGAGTACCTGGGACCACAGGTGTGCACCACCATGCCCGGCTAATTTTTGTGTCTTTTGTAGAGATGGGGTCTTGACACATTGTCCAGGCTGGTCTCAAACTCCTGTGTTCAAACGATCTGCCTGCTTCGGCCTCCCAAAGTGCTGGGATTACAGGTACAAACCACTGCACCCAGCCTTGTTTTTTTTAGAGAGAAGCTTTGCTCTGTCACCCAGACTGGAGTGCAGTGGTGTGATCACAGCTCACTGCAGCTTTCAAATCCTGGGCTCAAGCCTCCTGCCTTAGCCTCCTGAGTTGCTGGGACTGCAGGTGTGTGTACCACACCCAGCTAACTTTTCTATTTTTTGTGGGGACAGGGTCTCACTATGTTGCCCAGGCTGGTCTCAAACTCTTGGCTTCAAATGATCCTGTCTCAGCCTCCCAAAGCACTGGGCCACCATGCCCAGTCCAGACTTGATCAGTGTTTTAAACTCCAAAGTCTTGGATAAACAGTCTCTTTTACAGACAAATTACAGAAAGATGTCTTCTATTCAACCCAGGCAGGAGTCAACCCACGACTTAGAGAGCAAAGATAGATGCCTCTGAACTCTGACCTGACTTTTCCTCTTCCCACAGCCACTGATTTACAATGGTAACACGTTCATAATAATTACCAACATTCACTGAGAACTTTCTCTACATCAGACAGCATGCTAAGGACTGACACCCAGACTCTCATTTCATCCTCACAACCATCACTGTGAACCTCACTGTTCAGTTGCAGAGAAGTGAGGTAGCCTGCCCATATTTACCTGGCCAGAGTTTGGATTCCAACCTGGTTCTCTTCCAAAGCTTGTGTTATTACCTGCCACCTGATGAGGCCTCCCCAAGAAATTAAAATTAAAAAGAGACCAGCACTTGCATCATCAAGGCATACCTGTGAAATTCTGTGTCAGTGACAGAAGCAAAGGTTCTATTACCTCAGAAAAATACGAGTTAGTAAGATACAATGAACGGCCGGCTAAATAATGCGAAACCTTCCAGTAGTAATCTACCACTTTTGGTGCAGAGGAAGGAAAATGAGGGCTGGCTAAAAGTTACAGGAAGAGAAAGAAATGGTGACGTTGATGGTGTTGTTGGCAGATCTAGGGTCAGGTCACTTTTGTAATCCTGAGAATCCCACAGAGTTAGAGGTCAGCTGCTTCAGCCAGCCTCCTCATGGAAAAGGGGGAGACAAGTCAAGAATCCAGCATTTACCAGCAGGTGCCTTGCTCTAGGGGCCACAGAAGGTAACATAAAGAGGATAAATTCCAATGGGAAACTGGAAACAGAAGAGCTTGAGCTTAGGGATATCATACTGGTTAAAGAGTATGTGGAACCCACGCATGGTAGCTAACACCCATAATTCCAATACTTTGGGAGGCCAAGACAGGAGGACCACTTGAGGCCAGGAGTTCAAGACCATCCTGGGCAACATAGTGATAGCCCCATCTCTACAAAAAATAATTAGCTGCGTGTGGTGGTGCATGCCTGTAGTCTTAGCTACTTGGGAGACTGAGGATAGAGGCTCTGTTGAGCCCAGGAGTTCGAGGCTGCAGTGAGCCATGATCATGTCATTGTACTTCAGCCAGGGTGACAGAGCAAGACCCTGTCTCAAAAACAAAAACAAAACAACACAAATAAATAGAGAAAGAACACAAAACCAGGACTTGGGAGAGACCAACACATGGAGCGAGCTGGGTAAGAGCTGAGGGGAGGGGTAGGAAAGTGTGTTGGGGGATGTCTTAGTTTATAAACAGGTGAAGAAACACTTCAATATGGGAGTGAACAGTAGCAGCAAAAGTTGCAGAAGCATCAAGCAGGGGGCAACCTTCAAAGGACTACATGGGATTTTTAACGTTTACTTCAACTGTGTATAATCTGGCTTTCTTAATGGATTGTCAGGAGGCTAAATTAGCTGGCATGTGTGAGGAGCTGAGCAGGATGGCCAGACCCTTCCCACAGCCCCGAAGCTCCAGCATTGAGAGCGGCGGCCTTTCTTGCTCACCTTAGATCCTCAACTTCTGGGTTAGGCCATGTAAATGGTAGTTTAATAGATGTCTGTTCAATGGACAAGTGAAGAAATACATTTAAAATTTTTTATCTCCCTATCCCCTTACCTCTGCCTTAATATGAGAAATGGACTCCACAATTCGCAAATGAAAAGCTTACAATGCCAATGCTCACTGAGATAGTTAAGCAGGAACCCATGCTTCAGTTAAAATGCTCAGTGGACAGGAATGGTTATCAGAACCTACGCAGGCCTGGTAGACGCTGGAGGAGGAAGAGAAGGAGGGGCATGAATGTCAGGTGGGAGGAATTCTCTCAAGGAAGTATGAGAGGAGAAAGAAGACATCAAGATGTGTTTAACCTCCAAGAAAATCCGTAAAAACAGAACCCAAAACCCTACCAGCAAAGGAGTTTGTGGATGGAATTGCTCATTTTTTTGCATTTAAAGAACTCATATAAAGTTAATACTGTGATACATATTTTACTAATACATAAATTGATAAATAGAGCCTGCATCCAGTACATCAAAAGGAATCGCTCAGCTACAGAGCCTATTTTTCACTGTCAGAATCAATATTTGCTTGGATACCTAAAAGGCTGAAAGACAATTTTTTTTTTTTTTTTTTTTTTGACATGGAGTTTCCCTTGTTACCCAGGCTGGAGTGCAATGGCGCGATCTCGGCTCACCGCAACCTCCGCCTCCTGGGTTCAGGCAATTCTCCTGCCTCAGCCTCCTGAGTAGCTGGGATTACAGGCACCCCCCACCATGCCCAGCTAATTTTTTGTATTTTTTTAGTAGAGACAGGGTTTCACCATATTGACCAGGTTGGTCTCGATCTCTTGACTTCGTGATCCACCCGCCTCGGCCTCCCAAAGTGCTAGGATTACAGGCTTGAGCCACCACGCCCGGCCTGAAAGACAATATTTATTAAAAATTATTTGAACACGCCAGGTGTGGTGGCCCACGCTTGTAATCCCAGGGAGGCTGAGGTAGGTGTATCACCTGAGGTCAGGATTTTGAGAACAGCCTGACCAACATGGTGAAACCCTGTCTCTAAAAATACAAAAATAATTAGCCAGGTGTAGTGGCATGCACCTACAGCTCAGCTACTCGGGAGGCCGAGACAGGAGCATTGCTTGAACCCGAGAGGTGGAGGTTGCAGTGAGCCGAGATCACGCCACACCACTGCACTCCAGTCTGGGCAACAGAGCAGGACTCCATCTCAAATAAAAAAAGATGTATTTGAACACCTACTGCTTCTATGCTGTATATAGATTAGAATGTGAATGATGTTTGTTTGATAGACTTGATCAAATCCCTGGTGCGATCCAAGAGGGAGAAACGTTACGGTGCACAAGGTCCACGTGATAGAGCCGTCCATGGCAACAAACTCCTCTGGGACACAGTCAAGCGCGCTTGGCCTACTCCACAGGTAGGTGCATTTTTAATCATGGTTTCTATCACAAGACATTCTACTTAGAAAATTATGTAATCCTTAGAAAAAAATCAAGGTGAAGAGCTCAGCACTAAGTTTTCTGCTTTAACTTTGGGGGAAACATTCCAGTTAGCTTACCCATTTAGCCCTGGCTATTATGTTAATAGTGAGACTCAATTTTTTTTCCTAATTGATTTCATTATTTCATTCACCTTTTTCTATGTTCAGCTACATTCTCTCTGTAGCTCCTCTGAATAAGGAATGCTAAGTTTGGTAGCACTTTCTCATAAAGAGTGAACTTAACTACTTTTTAATCCAAGAAATTCTGCTAACATGTACACTCGTTTGCCAGTCCCCTCCCCCACATTCGTGTGGAAATATAAGTGCATACATGCACATGTGTACACACACACCTTCGTTACAAGTGTCCTCTTTGGGATCATGGTGGCAAAGATGTGAAAGATGTGTTTCCAAAGACTTCGTCCCCGGAAGGATTCACTGTCGTTAAAACACACTCTTCTATTTCTTCTAAAACCGCGTGCAACTAGAACATATTCTAAAAATAATTGCTTCCCTCCCCCTCCTCCCTAGAAGCCAAAATAGCACATTTATTTTTTTCCTACATACACCACCTACTCCTCTTTAAAAGATGTTTCATAAAACCTTAGTACTGAAAGGAACATTAAAGGATCATTTGGGTGGTTCTTTTACTCTCAGAGCAAACGTGATAAATGAAGTCAGTGAAGATATATTTACCATTGCATGAGCTGCCTTTTATCTTCAGATTAGATTAAGTTTTTAATATTCTAAATAATAAAGAAAAACATAGAAGTACCTTTTAAAAAACCTCCAGTTTTTGTTATTTTTACAATAATCAATGAAATCATGGGAAAAACTGCTTACTGCTTTGTGCTAAGAAAGGGCTGATTTAGAATGCCTCCCCATTTTAGCTGTCAACGAACCGTGAGTCGTAAGTCTAGAATAACTGACTAGCAAAACGCATGCACATACTATCTCTCAAGTATGGTCTGAAGGATCACTTAAATGACTCTTAAGATCAATTAACAAGATAATTGATTTATCTGCTTAATCAATAGCCCTGAAGACCTTCCAGGTCAACTTTCTAGGTAGCAGGACTGAGTTATCTTCTGTTGTGTCTGCTTGAATACTACATTTAACTGATGCTAATCTTTAAATCAAACAATAGATCCAGTTTTTAAGATGTGGGCTTTTATTTTGCTCTATGTTGCAAGGAGAAATGGGAACACAGAAAGCAAACAGAGATGTGTGTGCAATGAGACTAATTCAGCAGAAAAGAATTGCAAGAGAAAAATATCGCCTGGGATGGAAATTATTTGGTTTGAAAGTCCGGAAGAATGATGCAACTCCAAGGTCATTCTTTGTTTCCTACCAATTTCAGGTTGCAAAAGGAAAGCAATATCCGGTAGCAGAAAGGAGCAAGTGCTAGGTAGTTTCAATAGGACCTGGCAGGTCCCCCTAGCTGAGTTAAAACACGGCTCTAAGCACATTGCTAATAGTGTCAGTCACAAATAATAAGATTCTGCATGGTTTTAGTATCCAAGTCTGATCCCGGTTTATTCTGAGAACAAGGCCATCTGCCAGCCAGGCAATGGGGAAGAAAAAACAAGCACTCTACTGCCTACTATTGCCACCTGCTGGCTGTTAGTGGAATCACATGCTCATTCCTTCCTGGGGGACTTCCAACAAAAACAAAGACAGAACCAAACTAACTTAAATGAAGACAGCTATGTGGGTTCCCAATTTACCATTAATATGCTAATTTTGGGAAATACTAATTTATTTATTATAATTAATCTTACTATAAACTTTGCCCCCTTTCGTCACAGTGCCACCATGTATTTATATGGATTTTACCAACTAGCTGCTTGGTATTTCCAGTAATTTACTGTGATAGAAAGACATGTGGTTGTTCCATACGTTAAAATATTGCCAGTCTCCTCCCTTCCTAATAACCGACTGTGGCGGGGAATCTAGACCTACGCTTAAAAGGAAATTGGATAGAACTCTGAGATCCTCCCGGCTCTGTCCAGAACTCAAATCCCGTCATTAACAGGTTAAAAGGGTAATCACTGCTAACTTGGTTCTGATCCCTAGGAGGGCAAAGTCTTCCTTTAACTAACCCTGCAGTGGAATTGACTTTCTCCATGAGTTTGAAATGTTGATTATTCAACCGTGTTTTGGGAGGGTGGAGAAGTAGAGACAAGGTTTGAAATCAGGATTTAGAAGACACTTGTCTTACTTACACCTATTGTCCTGGGCTAAGCAACAATATAAACATCAGAGGTGACAAATGGAGCTAGGCCAGGCCTTGCTGGGAAGCAGAACTGAAGTCAGTCACAAAATTCCTGAATTCTGGTCCTTTAGGAAGCCAGGGCTCACTTTTCAAGAGTGGACACAGGAGGGATTCCCGACATAGCCTTCGCGCTATGAAGGAAGATCTGAGATACAATCAGGGTTTGTAGGGGCACACCTACCTCCGACAGCGTGCACAGCAAGTATCAAAAACCAGTGGTCAGAGGTCACCTTCACCAGAAGCCCCACACTGTGCCAGGCAACCCGAGGACCAAGGATGAAAGGCGCAGCTCTGAAAGAAGCTTATACTATTTGATGAAACTGTTACCACTCCCCTCACTGGAGCATTTTTTTTTTCTTCTCTTCGTCTGTATTTTTGTGACTAGTACCTACTTTTTCCCCAGAAATAGAAACTATTTATTCGGACTTGGTGTCTCTGAACATTTTTAACAGAGCTTCCCTTTGGAAAGCTATCAACATTTCACTTCCTCCTTTAATGTTATTCAGAATATCAAAACAAAGAAGATATAGCATATTTCTATATTCACATGTGTGACTGCAAATGCCCCCAATAAAGGGTCTTTTGTTTTGTTTTTGAAACAGAGTCTTGCTCTGTCGCCGAGGCTAGAGTGCAGTGGTGTGATCTCGGCTCATAGCATCCTCTGCCTCCAGGGTTCAATTGATTCTCGTGCCTCAGTCTCCCAAGTAGCTGGGATTACAGGCATGTACCATCACACCTGGCTAAATTTTCTGTAATTTTAGTACAGACAGGATTTCACCATGTTGGCCAGGCCGGTCTCAAACTCCTGGCCTCAAGTGATCCACCCGCCTGGGCCTCCCAAAGTGCTGGGATTACAGGCGTGAGTCAACGTGCCCGATCCTAAGATCTTATCTTCTACTTCTCTCCTCAGTGACCTAAAAGAATACTGATTTTAAGATGTAAGTTCAATAAATACTAGTGACTGAGAAGAACAGTTCTTAGTGGAACAAACTGTTTTTCCTCTGTTCTCACCACACAACAACCGATACAGAAGATTCCTGTGACCAAATGTGTGAGTCCCCCCCCCGCAATATACCCAGCAAGCGATCAGTTCTGCAGAAGACCGCAGCTGGGCATCCTCCAATTCAATTCCACACTGCTATGCACGCGGAGATAGCATCAGATTCCACAGATTGAGGGCTCAGTCCCCAAAACTGACCCCCAACTTCTGATGCCAGTCTCAAGCCCCAGGCCATTTTACCTGTGCTTCTGACCAACCAGCTATAAATCTGGGTTCCCAAGACCCTCCTCTCCTGGGGGTTAATTGGTCAGAGTGGCTCACAGAAATCAGGAAAACATTTACTGACATTTGCTTGTTCATTATAAAGGATATGACAAAGGGTACAGATGAAGAGCTGCATAGGGCAAGGTATGGGGAAGAATACAGAGCTTCCATGCCCTCTCCTGGCATGTGACCCTCCAGGAGCCCCCACGTGTTCAGCTACCCAGAAGCTCTCTGAGCCCTATTCTCTGTAGTCCTCATGGCACCTGGAAGGGTGGCCAAACCTTGTGCTTTGCTGGGGACCGAGCCAGTGGGTGCCTGCTGTCTCAGGGTAATTTTTACTACTCTACCCTTTCACTCTCAGATGTGACCCTGTTTGGATGATGAGTCTTCTGTTAAATCACAGGTGCGCTTGTTTTTTTCTTTGCTTAATCAGAGATTCCAGAAAAACCTACACTCCAATTTCATAGAAACAGTGCCTGTCTTAACCTTATTAAATTGCTTAAGGTGAGTTTTGGAATCCACAACACAGAAATTATATCGGTTTCAAAATAATGGCTGGAAGGCCATTGCCAACTCCTTTTTCTTTCCTCCCCCTCTCAATATTAGGTTTTTGAGAGTCATTGTCTCATCATGTAAACCTTTGGGTTCTTTAAATGCCCGCAAGCCTCATGCTGTGCCAGGGAACCCAAGGATGGCTTGGACAGCTATCTGCAGCAGGACACTTTGGATTTTCCAGATCATTCCTAAACTTTTTTTCCCCCACAGTAGCCACCTGCTCTCTAATTTTCCTGTTCCTAGATGTCCTTTAGGTATTGCGGGTTTTGTGCCATTCTGATTTTCTATAATAGAAAATTCAATACTAAGTAAGATTATCATAGAGGCACTTCAGCTGTGTGGCTCTTTTGCCTTCTCTTCCACTTCTAATCCCTAAAAGTAAAGTTCCCCAAGCGTCACACCTAAGCCTCTAAATTGCCTCACTGATGCCATCTATGCAGCTGTCCCTTTGGAGATTCTGAGTGTCAGTTAAAATATCCTTAAAAGCAGAGCTTTTCTTTCACTGGGGGCTTTTGCTTTATTTATAGTAGTTCAACAATGTGGAATCAGAATTCTTTGGATTTTCTTTCTGTTTCTGTCTACTTGCCTGTCTGTCTCCATCTGTCTGTCTTTTCCCTCAATGAAATGCTGTGATACTATGATACTCTGTGTTCAACTCCATGTCTTGACATACAGCTCCTAAAACCCTTGAAATCTTGAAAGTGATAAGTATCTTTTTGTATCCTAATGAGATGACTGGTGGCTGGCCGTCCCTGGCTAGCTTCAGGATGGGGTCTGTTCATCAAAAAGACCAAGGCAGGATTAGAGGGCTGAGACTTTGAGCGGCATCGCCAACCTCACTGGAGGGGAGAAGGGCTGAAGGTTGAGTTGATCACCAACAGTTGATGGTTTAATCACTTGTGCCTATGTAATGAGGCCTCTATAAAGGCCTCTATAAAGTAATTTCCAATTTCTATAGTGGATTGGGCTCCCAGTTTTTATTTTCCTTCCACAGTGCAAAGCCCTGGTAGGCTGTAGGGAGGTTGGGGATCTAGATAGACAATCGAGGGAAAAAAGTGTGAAGAGGACGAAGAGGACGCAGGGGCATGGGGGTAAATCTGAGACAAAGAGAGAAGAGACGTGGCTTAAGGCTAAAAGTTAATGACCCGGAACAACAGGGCCTCCACAGGGGGGTCCAGCCTGCTTCCCCATTCATCTGGGATTACTACATTTAACGTCTAGCTTCCCACCACAGCAACGTTAGCTTGCTGCCTTTGGCTCACCTGGGTGTTTTCTCAGACTTGGTTCATTTCACAGGTTTCCTGAGCCCAGGGCATTCTCCTGACCCTGCCCAGCTCATGTCTGCTCTACTCCCGCGCCCCCACACCCCAGGATCACCTCCCCAGTGAACCTGTCCCTTCATCTCTTTTCCAGACTCCTGCATCCCCCTGTATTTCCCCTCTCAAGGCTCCTCCCATTTATATTTTACTTAACTCCCATCTTTGCCTAATTGGCTCAATGCTCTTTTCCCAGTCAGGCCTGGCATCTAGTTGGTTCTCAACAAACACTGATTGAATGAATTACACATGAAAATGATGCAAACAATTTGTTTCTGTTTTTGCAGAACTAAGTTTCCAAGAAAAATTTGAGGTAATGAATTGATTCATTAAAAGTTGAACTATTTTAAGAATGAGGCTCTTTAAATATTTTTCGGAATGAACCTCTCTTTGCCAGAACGGTTGTTAAGAGCGACCCTGAGCCATTAACGAGCCTCAGGAACAGCCTGAGACCCCTGTGGAGCCCTGAGTCAATGTGACATCGACCTCTAGCGGACAAAATTGAGAATGCAGCAGCTCCAAGTAAAAGATGTCCTGTGACACCAGGCACAACCGAAGGAAACACAGATCCCAACGTTTCCTTCCTTTTTCACTACTATCACGCAAACTGACTTCCTCTCCCATTTCCAGGAGAGCCCATTGTCAAATTTCTGCCTAAATAATAAAAAAATTCAACTATTAGCATTCTGAGTATCGGTGTCTAGAAATTTATTGACATCGGAGCTTCTATGAAAGGCAGAGAGAGATTTTCCACCACAACTGAGTAGAAGTCAATTTTCCTACAGTAATTCCTTCCTGCCTAATCCTTTCCAGCCTCCTGGCATTTTTAATTGGGATTGCAGGTTGCAGGCTATCAGACAGTCTTGAGACAGAGGTGCATTTTATTTTTACATTTCATTCTTAATCTTATTTTTTAAGAGATGGGGTTTTGCTATGTTGCACCGGATGGAACACAGTAGTCATTCACTGGCACACAAAAAGCACTGGAGCTCTGACCCGCTGGGTGTCTGACCTGGGCTGGTTCACTCCCCCTGAGGCATCCTGGGGGTGCTCTGCTCCAGGGAGGTCACCTCATTGACACTGAACCCACATGACAGCTCCGAACTCCTGGGCTCAAACAATCCTCCAGCCTGAGCCTCTGGGTAGCTGGAACTACAGGCATGCACCACCACCATGCCCAGAAAGGTGCGTTTTAAACCACTTGATAGTCATAGGGTAAACGTTATCTCTGTAACAAGGAGAGAAAAAGTTGAGCCCAAAGAAGGGATAGGTTTAGGGAAAGAGGATGCAATTTGAGGGGTGAATACATGAACTATTTTTGCCTTACAAACACATCAGATGACAATATGTATTGTCGTTACTTTCCTTCTTAGCACACAACCTGCCGTCGTGAGGTCCTGGAACGTGCACCGTGTGACTACTCAGTTCTGATGAGATGCTTCTAGCCCCTTTGGCTTCACTTAACAGCTTCTCATTACTTTGTAATCCGCAGGTTTTAAGGCCATGACCACCCACTTGCCTCACTCAAGCCCTTATAAGTATCCTTAAACATCTCTTGTTCTCTATCTGTATGCAGGCTGCCGAGCAAGAAAGAAAATCTTTAAAACCAAAATAATTGGCTCAGAATAAACCAAGCTCAGAGAGGGAAAGAGCTGGCATCAAACAAAGCAGAGGAGGCTTCTCTGTGCACTCCTGCCAGGCAGAGGGGCAGCAAGGGATAGTGAGAGCTGTGGCACTCTCCTGAGGACATGTTCAGGAGTGAGGCCATCAGGGAAGGATAATGAACTCCTGACCAGACCGATTGAGACTGAAATTTACAGACAAATCCACTTGCCTGTGGCTTCTTGGATATTGGCCCCTGGCTCTGTTCTCCTCCAGCACTTCCTCTGCAGTATGAACCACACCCCCAGTTGCGGTAAAACAGCCATTCTTACATCTGATCTGTATAGGAAGGGGACTTTTGAGCACTTTCCTAAAGCTCGTTTCTCTCAACACTGGACTCTATACACATCTGTAAAACAGACGGTGATCAAGCTCACATCTCAGTTTAGTGTAATCGTACCAGCTGGCATCAATATTAGTACAGAAAATAAAAGTGATAAAGCCTGTATTTAATAAGCCTCTAACCTTATGCACTGTCTCCCTCTTTCATCTTTATTTATTAATTTGATGGATTCTTGCTCTGTCACCCAGGCTGGAGTGCAGTGGCGGCGATCTTGGCTCACCGCAACCTCTGCCTCCTGGGTACAATTGATTCTGTTGCCTCAGCCTCTCGAGTAACTGGGATTACAGGCACCTGCCATCATTTTCGGCTAATTTTTGTATTTTTGTAGAGACGAGGTTTCACCATGTTAGCCAGTCTGGTCTTGAACTCCTGACCTCCCAAAGTGCTGGGATTACAAGTGTGAGCCACCAAGCCCAGCCGTTTTTTTTTTTTTTTTTGAGACAGAGTTTCACTCTTGTTACCCAGGCTGGACTGCAATGGCATGATCTCGGCTCACCGCAACCTCCGCCTCCTGTGTTCAGGCAATTCTCCTGCCTCAGCCTCCTGAGTAGCTGGGATTACAGGCACGTGCCACCATGCCCAGCTAATTTTTTTTTGTATTTTTAGTAGAGACGGGGTTTCACCATGTTGACCAGGTTGGTCTCGATCTCTCGACCTCGTGATCCACCCACCTCAGCCTCCCAAAGTGCTGGGATTACAGGCTTGAGCCACCACACCTGGCCGCCCAGCCTTCTTTTACATTTTTGCCAGCACTTGATGCCAGGAACTCTACCACCAACTTCTACTGGGAATGGAAGCATCGTTATCACAGGGGACTGTCCGGGTGGAGCCAGCGGCAAAACCGTGTGCGTTCGGGGAGCCAAGGATGGACAGACCTGGCACAGGTGCCCACCTGGCACAGGTGCCCACCTGGCACAGGTGCCCGCCTGGCCCTACTGCCCTGGACTCCCAGGGTTACCTACCATTTCCTTGAAAGCACTTTCAAGCGCCCCTATGACCAGGCACTCGTGGGGAATCTTCTTCTCGGTAAAGAAGCGTGTGGGGGGCGTGCTGGGGGAGCCCGGAGCCCCCACCCCTCCACGCAGGGAGGCTGCCCTGGTCAGAGTCCTGCTGTTGGCGGGCGTGTTCTCGGGCTCCTCCCCCAGGCAGGTGGGTGGCAGGACGGCAGAGTTCTTCAGGATGTCCACGATGTCCTGCAGCTGCTCGGTGACGTGGTGCTGTAGCAGGCGCGACGCCACCACCGCAGCCCCGGACCCTGCATGCCCGTCAAACAGCGACCAATAATGGCAGGAAACACCCTCGGACTCCTGCAGGAGAGGGCGACAGAGAGGAGTGAGAACAGCGGTGGCCTTTGCCTCAGGGTCATACAGACTGTGCCAGACCATTCACTTGGTTGTCTGTAGTCTGCAAACAATGCAGTCAAAACATAGGAAAAGAAACACTCAGGGAAGGGTCCCCAGGTGAGTCACTGTTGTTACCAGCACTCTAAGGATGAAGTGGTCACTGCCTCCCCACCTAGCAAGGGAATCCGAATGATCACATAATAAGTTACTACTTGGAGGGTGAGAGCTACTCTAATCTGAGCTGTAGGTGTTTGCATAAAACTCTCCTACAAACAGACAAGTCTGCAGGAGTCCAGCTTGAACACCTAACTCCTTACCTCCCACCCTTTTTTTTTTTGAGACAGAGTCTTGCTGTGTCACCCAGGCTGGAGTGCAGTGGTGCGATCTCGGCCCGAAGTTCAAGTGATTCTCATGCCTCAGCTTCTGGAGTAGCTGGGACCACAGGCATATGCCACCACACCCAGCTAATTTTTTTTGTATTTTTAGGAGAGATGGGGTTTTCACCATGTTGGCCAGGCTGGTTTCAAACTCCTGGCCTCAAGTGATTGGCCGGTGTTGGCCTCCCAAAGTGCTGGGATGACAGACCTGCGCCACTGCACCTGGCACCTGCCTTCTATTTCAACCCCAGAGTAGGTTTGGCCTGGGGCCTTGGATAAAGGCCCTTTTCTCAGATTTTCCAATGGGAAATAAGTAGACCCATTTACCCCAGTTAGAGCCCTTACATGCTGAGATAACTGCCCCATCTTTCTTGGTCTACATCCTGAATTTTTAGAACATGTTTTCACCCTAGACACCCAGTCAAGTCCAGGCCTCACAAGATGCAGCCAATTCAAATCTCCTTTTTATATTTCCCACCTCCCTCAGTTCTCCAACTGATGTCACTCTGTCTCTTCATTTCCTCTTCCTGCCTTACAGCTACACGCAGCCCGTGTTCCCTCATCTACCTTGGGTTTGGTGGCTGCCGGTGGGTTTCTAGACTACTTCGAGATCAGTACTTCTGAACCCATGTTTAAATTACACATGCATTCGATCTTAGAGAAAAGGAGCTCAATTATGAGAGAGCTGATAGAGAGCTCAGAAATAAACCCATATGTTTTCAACTCATCTCTGACGAGGGTACCAAGAATACACACTAGGGAAAGAAGAGTCTCTTCAGTAAACGGTATTAGGAAGAGAGAATATCCTCATGCAAAAGAATGGAATTGGGCCATCTTCTTACATCATATACAGAAACCAACTCGACATGGCCTAAAGACTTAGATCTAAGGCCTGAAATCATAAAACTCCTAGAAAAAAACATGGGTGAAAAAAAAGCTCCTTGATATTGATCTTGGCAATGATTATTTAGACATGATACCCAAAGCACAGGCAACAAAGCAAAACAAACAAGTGGGACTACATTAAACTAGAATGTCTGCACAGCCAAGGAAGTAACCCACAAAAGCGAGAGGCAGGCAGCCTATGGCATGAGAGAAAACATTCGCAAAGCACGTGTGTGATAAGGGGTTAATTTTCAACAGAAACAAGAAACTCCTATAATTCCATTGCCAACAAAACAAAACAAGCAAGCCGATTAAAAAATGGGCAGAGGCCTTGAAGAGACGTTTCTTCAAACACGACATAAAATAAATGGCCAGCAGGTTTGTGAAAAGACGCTCAACATCTACACCTTTCATAAAACTCAGTGAACTGAAATTAAGGACTTTCCCCAACCAGATAAGGGGCATCTAGGGAAAACCTATAGTTCATACCGTATTTCATGATGAAATACTGAATGCTTTTTTGTAACACTGGGCAACACGCAAAAATGTATGCTCTCACTCCTATTCAACACTGTATTGGAGGGTTCTAGATAGGCAAGAAAAAAGAAAAGGCCTAAAAAGATTGTATTAGAAAACAGCTGGGCACAGTGGCTCAAGCCTGTAATCCCAGCTACTCAGAAGGTTGAGGTGGGATAATTCTTTGAATCCAGGATGAGGAGGTTGCAAGTGGCCAAGATTGTGCCACTGTATTCCAGCCTGAGGTGACAGAAAGACTATATGAGAAAATAAAGTTTCATTTATCCTGGCTTTGAGCAATTTGAGCATGATGTGCCTTAGTGTCATTTTCTTCATGTTTTATATGCTTGGAGTTTGTCTTTCTCAATCTGTGGACATATAGTTATTTCATCTTAATTTAGAAAAATTTTACTTATTATTTCTTAAAAAATTTTTTTGGGTATTCTATCTTTTCTCCTTGGAAGAATCTAAATACACATGTAGTGATCCTTAGAGGTTGTCCCACAGCTCATTAAGGATACTTTCATTTTTTTTTAATGCTTCATTTTGGTTAATTTCTATCACAATGTATTAAACTTGCTGATGTTTTCTTTTCGTTTTTATTAAAAAATGGACAAAGGATCTGAATAGACATTTCTCAAATTAAGACATGCAAGTGGCTAACAGTTATCTGAAAGAGTGCTAAAAATCAATCATCAGAAAAATGCAAATCAAAACCACAGCGAGACAGCACCTCATACCTGTTAGGATCACTATTATTTAAGAAAGGAGACAAGTGTTGGCGAGGACGGAGAGAAAAAGGAATCTTCTTCACTGTTGGCGGGAATGTAAATTAGCATAGCCATGACAGAAACCAGTATGGAGGTTCCTCAAAAAATTAAAAAGAGAACCATCATATGAAGCAATTTTACTGCTGGTGATGTAACAAAAAGGAAAGGAAATCAGCCTTGATAGCCCCATGTTCATTGCAGCATTTTTTTTTTTTTTTTTTTTGAGACGGAGTTTCACTCTTGTTACCCAGGCTGAAGTTCAATGGCACGATCTCGGCTCACCGCAACCTCCACCTTCTGGGTTCAAGCAATTCTTCTGCCTCAGCCTCCTGAGTAACTGGGACTACAAGCGTGCACCATCATGCCTAGCTAATTTTTGTATTTTTAGTAGAGACGGGGTTTCACCTCGTTGACCAGGATGGTCTCGATCTCTTGACCTCATGATCCACCCGCCTCTGCCTCCCAAAGTACTGGGATTATAGGCGTGAGCCACCGCGCCTGGCCCATTGCAGCATTATTCACAACAGCCAAGACACTGAAACCACCTCATCAGATGAATGGTAAAGAAAATGTGTATACTATCTACATACAGTAAGATATTATTCAGCCATAAAAAGAAGGAAATTCTGCCATTTGCAGCAACATGAATGAGCCTGGAGGGCATTAAATGAAATAGGCCAGACACAGAAAGACAAACACCACGTGATCTCACTTATATGTGGAATCTAAAAAAAGAGTCAAACTCGTAGAAGCAGAGAGTAGAATGGTGGTTGCCAGGGGCTGGGGTTGAGGGAAGTGGGGAGATAACCGTCAAAGGGTACAAAACTTCACTTATCAAATGAGTAAGTTCTGGGGATCTAATGCACAGCATGGTGACTACAGTTAGTAACCCTGAACTGTGTACTTGACAGTACCCAAGAGAGTAGATTCTAAGTGTCTTCACCACAAACACACACAAACTGGTAACTATGTAAGGCAATGGGAGTATTAACTTGATTGTGGTGGTCGTTTCGCAATGTACACGTGTATCAAACCATGCACACCTAAAATACGATTTTGTCAATCATAGCTGAATAAAGCTGGGAAAAAGGAAACATTACATTTGAAAAAAATGTAGCGAGGTAGGATATAAAACACTAAGAAAAATAAATATTTGGGCTCTCTATTTTCAGAAATGGATGGACAAAGAGGTAAGGTATGCATATAACATTTACCTCTGACTAGTAGGCTTATCCACCCCACAGCAATAAATACTGAAGGCTTTTTTTAAAAGCTGAAATCAAGTAAAATTCTTAATGCTAGAAGACAGTGAGTAGGTATGGTGACATGGGCAATTTAAAAAGAGCACTCTGTGCTATTTAAAACTTGATTTCCAGGCCGGGCACGGTGGCTCAAGCCTGTAATCCCAGCACTTTGGGAGGCCGAGGCGGGTGGATCACGAGGTCAAGAGATCGAGACCATCCTGGTCAATTTGGTGAAACCCCGCCTCTACTAAAAATGCAAAAAATTAGCTGGGCATGGTGGCGCGTGCCTGTAATCCCAGCTACTCAGGAGGCTGAGGCAGGAGAATTGCCTGAACCCAGGAGGCGGAGGTTGTGGTGAGTCGAGATTGCGCCATTGCACTCCAGCCTGGGTAACAAGGGCGAAACTCCGTCTCAAAAAAAAAAAAAAAAACAACTTGATTTCCATTCAATTCTGTGCTAGGTGCTGAGAATAAAATAGCTGATTTTTAATTCAACCAATAGGTGATTTGAGCACTTTCTATGCAAAAGGCTCTACAGTAGGCAGCAGATAAAAGACTGGCTGAAGGAGTTATCGGACATGGCCTGATCTTAATAGTGCAGTGGGGAAGACAGATAGTGATTGATATGGTTTGGATTTGTGTCCCCTCCCCGGCAAATCTCAGGTCGAATTCTGATCCCCAATGTTGGAGGAGGGGCGCGGTGGAAGGGGACTACATCATGGGGGTGAATCTCCCCTTGCTGTTCTTGTGACAGTGAGTGAGTTCTCACGAGATCTGGTTGTTTAAAACTGTGTAGCCTCCCCTTCACTCTCTTCCTTGTAAGAAGCGCCTGTTTCCCCTACCCCTTCCACCGTGACTGAACGTTTCCCTGAGGCCTCTTTTGCTATGCTTCCTGTATAGCCTGTGGACCAGTGAGCCAATTAAACCTCTTCTTCATAAATTACCCAGTTTCAGGTATTTCTTTATAGAAGTGAGAGAACATACTAACACACTGATCAAATAATAACACACATACACATTCCATCTTAAAAAAGAAAAATCACAAGTCTGATCATAAAGAGGACAAAAAGAAATACTTAGTACCAAAAAAAAAAAAAAAAAATTCTTAGTACCACAAGGCCAGGCTACAGAGGGACAGGACACATTGGAGAAGGCTTCCTGAGGACATGAGGACGAGGCTGAGGGATGCATGGGAGTTCATGAGATCAGGAGGGGAGGGGAGAGAACGCCAAGCAGTAGCAACAGCAGGTGCAAGGCCCCTGCAGTAGAATGGTGCCTGACGCCCAAGCACAGACTACACCAGCTGTGTGGCTGAATGAGAGACGGAGGAGCAAGGGGAGGGTGGAGAGAGAGGCAGCAGCTAGACCACTCATTTTTTACAGGACACATGAAAGATCCTGGCTTTAGCTTAAGAGTAACAAAAAAACAAGACAAAACATTAACTGAAATGAGAATGACAAAATCAATTTATGTTTTTAAAAGATCATTTAAGCTATTCTGTGAGGATTAGAAGGGAAGTGAGGGTGAAAATGAGGATGCTAGGCAGGAGGTAAATCCTGCTCTGAAAAACACACAGTCACATTCAGGCCATAAGGAACACACATGAACAATGAAAGGCTTCATAAGACAGAGGTATAAACAGTAAGAGCGCTAACTCATAGGCAAGCAGAAAGAACGATGATTACAGATGAGAAGATCTGGATTCGAATCCCGTCTTCAGCACCAATCAGCTGAGTGGAGGCAGAATCACGTTAGGGAGGCAGGACAGGTGTTGGGCCACTCGCTGGCTGTCCCTTTTGCTTAACATTTCCACGCCATGGTTTCTTGTTGTTTTTTAATCCCCTGAACTAGATGAAACCAAGTTCATCATGAGATTTTAAAATCCTCAATGTCCTACGCTAGGGGGATGTAAAGTGAGGGACTATTCCAGTGAATACCACCACAGGGTGGCTCTGCTACGCGTTTGAGTTCAGCTCAGCCATTAATAGTATGAGAGACCCTAAGGTCAGAGAAACACATCCAGTTACAGGTCCAGAAATACCTTCCCATCACTGATTTATTTTTTGAGACAGGGTCTTGCTCTGTCACCCAGGCTGGAGTGCACTGGCACAATCACGACTTACTGAAGCCTCAACCTGCCAGGCTCAAGCAATCCTCCAGCATCAGCCTCTCGAGCAGCTGGGGTTCCAGGCATGTGCCGCCACATCCAGCTGATTTTTGTATTTTTCATAGAGATGAGGTTCTGCTATGTTGCCAGGCTAGTGAACTCCTGGGTTCAAGCAGTCCCCCTGCCTTGGCCTCCAAAAGTCCTGGGATTACAGGACGTTTTATGAGCCAGCATGTCTGGCCACCCATCCCATCATTTAATGAACCTTACATAGCAGGCAATACTCTCAATGCTTTACAAATATGACCTCATTTACTCCTTACTCCAGTCCTCTGTGAGATGTTTGCTAATTGTCTGCATTTTATAGGGCAGGAAAATTAGAGACAGAGAGTTCAACTGTTGCTCTGGGTCACCACCTATTCAGTTATGCAGTGGAGACCAGAGTCCATGCTTTCAGCCATCAACCTCTATGCTAAGGTGACCACCCCTACCCAATCCCCAGCGGGAAAGGTTGCCTTAATTTAGTGCCATAGGCCATTTTTCTACTCTACAACCTGAGTTGCAACTAGTGTGATCTTTCCTAAAACACATTTGGTCATTTTCTCTTGTGAGTCTAACAGCATGCTCTGTGGGCTGGCTCCTGTCCGTCAGCCTCCAGTTTGCAATTTCTGTTTGAACCTCCGGTGAGCTCCTCACATTCTAGCCCTTACTCCAATTCCACTCACACCCAACTACAGAGCTTGCAGCTCATCACAAACCAAGAACCATCGCCACCTCCTTTACATAACTCCCACCTGGCTTTGAGTACTGAGCTTCAACATCATCTTCTTCCAGAAGCTCCCACTGTACCCTGAGCACCATCAGGACAGTAGCCTTGAGGACTAGGGTGAGATGCCAGTCTGGCAGGGCAGTCTAAGAAGCCTCAATTTACCACCTTGGGGGTACTCGTGAAATGAAATGCCTCTGCCCCCAGGGGTGCCGCGAAAGCTGCGTGGCAAGAAAGCAGCACTAGAACTCAAAAGTCTCATGAAGGACTGCAAGAGGCGTTTCAAAGAACAATATGAGGCCATAGAGGGCTATATCGTGTTTGAAATGTGGCCAAAATATTACAGAGACTAAAAATTTATATTCAAAGGTGGCATGATCAAACAGGTTTTGCTATACACTTATTTTATTTTTTTGAGACAGAGTCTGTCACCCAGGCCGCAGTGCAGTGGCGCGATCTCAGCTCACTGTAGCCTTTGCCTCCCGGGCTCAAGTGATTATCTCACCTCACCCTCCTAAGTAGCTGGACTGTAGGCATGCACCTCCACGCCAGGCTAATTTTTGTACTTTTAGTAGAGATAGGGTTTCACCATGTTGGCCAGTCTGGTCTCGATCTCCTGGCTTCAAGTGATCCACTCACCTCGCCTCCCAAACTGCTGGGATTACGAGTGTGAGCTACTGCGCCCGGCCTGTACACTTGTCTTAAAAAGGATATGAGGATACTCCTCTTTCTTTCCTACCTGGTTCTCCTCAAAATGATGCCATCAACTGCTGTAAAGTAAGCAGGACGGTTTGATGCATAAAGTCAGACCTGGGAACATGAAGGAATGAATGTCTCCTCAATGTCACATGAGTAGTGAGGGGCCTTCATCAATGTATGGGGGCTAAGCCAGGAATAAGGCAGCCTGGGTGATGCAACTGTGAATCCAAGAGAGAGGCCCGGGGAATCCGAAGTGGCATGAACATGATGCTTTTAAAGCATCTGAAACCCATGATTTCACTGCAAATACACATGTATTGCTTCACTGCTTAGAATCTTCAGTGACTCCCTACTGCCCTGAAAATACCATTGGTTTTCTCTTAGATGCTGACATGTCTTACTGGCACTGAATGATCTAGTTACTAGTCACACTCTTCAGCACATCTCTTGCTTCTTTCAGCGGCCCTGAACTTCTCTCATTTCCTCTCTTCTAAGTCTCAGTGACCTCTGGAACTATGACCATCACGTTTTTCTTCTGCCTGAAATACTGATCCCTATCTCGCTGCTTGGAGAATCCTTCAATTTGGGGTGGAAGCATGACCTATCCCATCAAGTCTGCTTGGACCATCTCAGTCCCTGGCCATCCCATTTTCTGTACCAGTATGCATCAGTGCTGCTCATGGAGACTTATGTGTCTCTCATTGGCTCTTGTTTTCCCAGTGAGTGCCTGGTACAGAATAGATGTTCAATAAATACTTACTAAATATACAAAGAAAGAAAGGAGAGAATGGTTTTTATTTTTTCAAAGCAATATAGCAGCTTGGCAAATAAGGACTTTATAGAAGACACTTCACATTAATAAAACCAACAGAATATCATAACCCTAACCTACTCCAGGACTGGGGATAACCTGGTCTTGCTATATTTACCCAGGACTGTGTCCTCTCAGCTCCCTGAGGCCAAGTGTGCCAAGCAAATTAGAAGCCTGGATATAGGACCCTGGGAATCTCAAAGGGAATCCAAAGAAACTGAGACATTGCCATCTCTGTCTGTACTTGATTTGCTGAGCCTTGTGGTCCTACATAACCAGTATGAAACTCCCTCTCTCCGTCTCTCTCTCAATCCAATGTCTTCTGAGACAGGACACGTCCACCCCTCATACCTTTGGCGAAGGAGGAACATCTCCTCAGACAGTATTAACTCTGAGTATAAGATCTTCCATTTACATGGTAAATAAACAAGATTTCAGCTTTTACATTATTTAACAGAATATTGGGTATTTACTTACACATTTTCAAATGAGTTAAAACAAACAAATTCTATCTCCCATGATATGTCTCAATATAGAAAGATCACAAGCTTTAGATCAAGACAAATCTGGGTTCTATGTGACCTCGGGGAAGTTACTTAACTTCTCTCAACTCCACTTCCTTATTTGAAGAAGATGATAAAGGACAAGGTAAGATGGTGGCACAGACAGTAAGACTGCTTCATGTAATGACACATGTCTTGGAGTCTCCTTTCCTGTGTGCATATAGCAGGAAATGACAATGTCATGGTTTCCAAGTTCTTGAAGCTAACAATCTAGAATATGATTAGGTCATTACAAGTGTGATGAGTGTTAGAAAAACAAAGTGCCAGTTGGGCGCGGTGGCTCACGCCTGTAATCCCAGCACTTTGGGAGGCCGAGGCATGTGGATCACAAGGTCAAGAGATCGAGACCATCCTGGTCAACATGGTGAAACCCCGTCTCTACTAAAAATACAAAAATTAGCTGGACATGGTGGTGCGTGCCTGTAGTCCCAGCTACTCGGGAGGCTGAGGCAGGAGAATTGCTTGAACCCAGGAGGCGGAGGTTGTGGTGAGCTGAGATCATGCCATTGCACTCCAGCCTGGGTGACAAGAGCAAAACTCTGTCTCCAAAAAAGAAAAAAGAAAAAGAAAAACAAAGTGCATGGTATCATGCAGGTGGATAACATGTATTAAATGTGCAGCTAACCCTGGGGTCTGGGGGCAATGAGGAAGGGGTATGGCTATGAAGGGATAGTACGAAGGAGTTCTCGGTGGTGATGAAACTGCTCTGAATCCTGGTTGCAGCAGTGACGATGTATCATGCATGTGTTAAAATTAATAAAACTGTCTACCAAAAAGTAAATAAAATGTATAGCACCATGTTCAGCACATAGGAGAGGCAAAAACACAAGAAGTAATGGTAATTACTTATGCTATTAAATAGCCTGGGGGGACACAGAGCAGGTGGGAAGACTAAGCTGCACATCTGCACTCCTGACTTTCAATTCTGCCAAATGGGGTACTCATCTTGCTCTACTGTGCAACTCCTGTTGCTTCTGTTCACCTTTTTAAAGTA